GGCGGGGGGCGCGGAGGGGCGAAGCGGGGCTGCGCGGCGCCTAAAATACACATCGCGATGAAACCACCTTCTCACAATATTTGCTCTGGCCCTCGCGAGGTCCTAGCGAAGCCGTGCGTTCACGCACGCGGCCCGCGCCGCCCCGCGCCGCGCTATGTTTTCCTAATCCAGCGCCCTCCGCAGTCGGAGTGGGCGCGGCCGCTAGGGAGGATTACACTCGCGGGGAGGGAACGTGGCGTTAACACACAATGACGCTTCTTTGACGTTCGCGGGTAATATTCGTAACATTGGACATAGTCCTGCGGTTTCTTTTGACTTTTCTTCCATACACTATAGAATTGGACGTATTTGAATCACATCAACAATACAGACTCCAACTTTCGACCAGCAAGATCTAACTTGTACGGGGGCGGTATGAGTCCCTCGCAATTGTTTTCTTTCGCGAAATCGCGTTACTCAAAATTGTGATGAGCCATCTAATCTACTTTTACGTTTAGGGGCTATAAGTTGGTCTACGAAGTGGCTTATCAAAGGCTCTCACCTTCTCCGAATTACAAACAGTTATATTTCTGAGGGGATGTCACAGGCGTAGCGTACTATTTACGTTAGTATTCTTGCTGTCGGTGATTCTAGACTACCCAAGATTCCTTGATGTTTTATCGACAGAATCTATGACGTCTAAAGACGTCGTTTTCGAGATTATGCCGGTCCGTCCGGATTCCTTTGTTAATCGAAATGTCAAGAATTTCGAAGTTGAATGATCCCGTGAATTGTATACTTTGTAGTGACTGTTATATTGATCCAAATAAAATAAAAATGTATTACCAAAAGTGCCTACTTTTCTGTGCAAATGAGTCTTCTTCTTCTTCTTCTTCTTCTCTTAGGCCGGCAGCCGGCAACCCTTTTTGCCCCGATGGAACACCTATCGTACACTAGAAACCAACACACTTGCGAGCTCTTCCGATCTGTGGTCAGCACATTACGAAGCCCTCCGCGACAACATACAAGAGAGACACGGGAAAGTAATGACCAAGGCGGGACTCAAACCCGCGACCCCTTGGACAGATGCGCTGACTCTGTACACACACCTAGGCCATCTAGGCTGGCAATGTCTTTCTTTTACTAAGTAAATGCAAGCTTTGGATAAAATTTTAATTACCTATCCAGAAAGGGCATGTACAATTTTTTTTAAAGGCAATTAGTTTTTGCATTATTTCTAGAGAAAATTATTGAAATGAATACGGGTTTCACACCAACTTCGGGCCAAGTTTAAAAAGTGAATGAATGATACGTAAAATAATTAATTTAACTTTAATTACAATTTCCTATTGAAAATGCCAGTATAATTTCTATTTTTGCTTCCTCGAACTATTACTTTACTTAATTCCACAATTTGTAGTCTCAATGTATTGAGGTACGAGTACATAACGTTGACGATCTGCCAAGGTATAGTGGCTGTCAACCTCTTATAGAGCAAATAATTCTTAAAGAGCTGTGTTATTTACAGCATCATTCATAAAAAATATATTGTCTAGTTCAGGACATGATACAACTTTGGATTGCAAGCGACACCACCTGGAAACTGCATATCTAGGTGGTGTTGGTGCAAAGCAATGACAGAAGAGGATGTGTTTATCAAAAATAGATTTTCAAGATAGGTAATGTTCAATTTTTTGAAAATGGGAGTATTTTGGTGCTAATTTGGAGACAAAAATAATGCCCTGTTCGAATTTACTGATCCTCGTATCCTTAATTCCCCTACATTTAGATTGTTCGCATCTTAGAATTTATATATTTTATGGATCTTGGTTCCTTTCTTACATTAGAATTTTGTTATACATTTACACATTAATCTTTTAGGAACTATTTAAAACTTAATTGAAATACTTCTAGCTTTCAGGGAATATCAGATTGGAATGTGACAATGACTAGACAATAATGACTGGGAATCTCATTTTTGTGAATTGTTTCTTATTGTTAGGACATGATTTACCTGCATGAAAATCAATTATAATTGTCAAATTTGTGTTGATATTTTCTTAAAAATATTTAGTTTTGCACCAAATATTGAACGATTTGTAATGAGTAGGGTTAGGTAGTATTTAAATGTTTGTATATGAAATATGTATTTTCAATAATTGACATGTTTATTCACGCCACTTGGATAACATATATTTTGCAGGTTTTATATATTCGCCAACTAGGGGTTTATTGTCTGATGGTTTGTTTGAAAACTCAGTGTTTGTAAGGTAATTCCATTTCTTTGTGTTAGACATTTTTTGATATCATTTTATATTTGATGTTTAATGCATATGGTTACAATACATTACATTATAGTTCAGAAATTTGTATGACTTTCACTTACTACGGGCCATATTGATTGTACTTATCAATATATTGTTGATATAAAAAATATATAATAGAAAATTGTTATATATTTACAGAATTTTGAGTACAATGTACTTCCTGAGATTAATTCTTAAATGTTGAAAAGTTGTAAAAAATAAAAACTATGCAAAATAACAAGCCATGATCTCGTAAGCAGACGTTCGTGCTGCCTGCTTTAGAAGATCGGAACGGAAACGCGCGCAAGTCGGCAACACCGTACGCCTAGCGTGCTTCATTCAAATCGAGCAACAACTTTCTTACCAAGAGTTCTTACACTTCCCTCAGTGTACTGGGAGCAATAAAAACACACTCACTCTTATAAAATTTTACCTTTTATATTAACCAGATTTTCAGCAAAGCTGAAATTTGATGGATGCAATGCAAATATAAATTTTACTGGATAGAAATTAGAATATTGAAGAGTTTTTAATTTTTGCAACTTTCAAAAAATCAGGGTTTTCAACAAAAATGAGACCTGCACCATTCGCATAAATGTTTTTCATACCAAAAAATACAATTTAATATTTTTTTTTGTTTTCAAAATGTCTCAGGAGATTCATTTAAAGGAAAAGAAATAGCAAAAATTTCAAATTATTAGGTTTTCATTCATTTTTAAAATTTATTAAAAAAAGTAATCACATAACTTATACAAAATGTATTAATAACTATTACTAAAAGAGAGAAAGTATGTGCTGTTAAGCACCACTACCTTCTTTATGAAATTTATCTCTCAATTTTATATTTCTGAATGTCAATTATTTAAAAAAAAAATATATAAGTAATGAAAAATATATAAGACAAATATCGAAGGGTAGCATACAATTATCGAATACCAAATAATTCGCTTTTACTTTTATAACTTATTCACTTATAATCACTATGGATCAGGGAAAATATCCTATTACATTAACAACTTTTGTTCAAAATAAATGAAGTAGTGATCTTACTTACTGCAGGAAAATAAAACCAAAATCCTAAAAGAACAATATTGACTAACCCACAATAAAGTTCAAAATTCTAAAAGAGCAATGTGGACTAACTCACATTAAAAGACATTTTAGTTATAATACGTTATGTGTTGTTACATTTATGAACTTTCAGTTATCTTCTAACATTCCAATATGACCTGAGATAACAATAGCTTTCAATAAATAATTCTATGTAACACAAGTTCCATGAACTATTCAAATCCATTTTTCTCCCATTTACTCCAAAAAGTAGGGTAATCCACTTGGCCAATCATAATTTCACATAAAAATGAATTCCATTCTTGAAACCTAAGAATATTAATTAAGTAAATTTTAATTAATTATTGTCGCAGTAAATATCATTAGGCCTTCAAAGCCATACGATGGGAAATCAGGTATGCCAACAAAACAACACATTTTAAGAAAAAAGGAATATTAAGGAAATAATCTTTACTGTTCTATGTAAGAGAAATAGTTTTAGCCGCCTTGTGTAAAAATTTAGAAGGCTTTGACATTGTTTATTCTGTAACATACGATAATTTCCTTCTATCATGACGCCAAACACAATTTCTATTTGTTGAGTAGCTTCTTTAATTTTATTTTAGGATTGCGGTGATTATAAGAGAAGAATTAGAAAATAAATGAAAGGCAGTGACTAAAACCGTCAATCCTTTTACGTAATTCATTTGGAATTAATAATTGAAGTTTTCTATCAAAATGGTTGTTGACAAACAACTCTACTCCGTGAGTATCATACTTTTCTCAAAATTCGTTTTGATTCACACGTTAGAAAATATATGGTTCTTATTTATTGCGAAAAATCAATTTTCGGAAAGCGTTAGCTCATCGGTTAGATAACAGTAAAAATTCGTTTGACAAGTTAACCACACGATAAACTATTTAATCCGCCAGTTTCAACGTTTATTGGCACAATCGTCAGTTTTTTAAAACTTCATAAATGCCTATTAGCAATACATAACTCCATCTAGTAGAATTCGAATTAAATATGCTTGTGCATAGAATAATAATAATAATAATAAATTTCTGTAATTCCAGTTTTCCTGGCCTTCAATTTCTAAATTTTATATCCAGAAATTGGAAATTTTCAATTACATTTTTTTTGCAATTCTCTTGGCAATTTATTTCGTTAGTTTCTTTGTACTATTTCTTTTAGCTGTATATGCCGGATAAAACTAGAATAAACATTAATCTATCAACAATGTGAAAGCTGACGTCTTCTGAATGAACATGCCAGAAAGTTAAAACTACATCCTACTAATACGTCTCGTAGTAGGTTTCTAGAGGGATACATGCGGAGTACAGAAAAACAAATTGTTTCAGAACACGGCAGGTTCTCTTTAATATTAAAAGCTCTCACATTTTTTATATTACCCTCGTTTACCTTCCTTTTGCAGCAACCCCCAGACTACTCAGTCGTTCATTCACCACCATGTCCACAATTGAAAGAAGGTGCCTTGGCACTTCACCCTACAAACCAACGTTACTGCCCTGCACGTCTCAACCTATGGAGACCTGTTTTAGGCTACGAAAATGTGCAAGTCATACCACTGTACGCAGAAGTTTGTCATTTTATATTCAAATGTAAATATTTGCGGTCCTACAAAACGTTTTTGTATTTGTTTAATGCTGTGCAGCCCCAGTCAGCCTGTCACGAACGCCATTCAAGACCCCTGCTACATCCCGATGGGCATGGTCACAGACGCAATGCGCTTTCCCAACCTCGTCTCTGGATTCGAGCGAAGTCCCATTCACGCAGCCCGCGCGGCTTTGCATCCAAGATACACCAAATACGAGTGGAATCAAAACAACGTCGGCCTCTACAACGAGGCGGACACAAACAGAAACTTCTCTCAGAGGCTACGAGACGAATCTCTCAGAGTAATAAGGTGAGGTATTACATCTTTAAATCTTCTAATGTCTGTTTAGTTGAAAAATAGCCGTGCCATTCAAAACAGAAAAAAATTGGGCAAATTTTAAAAAGTATTAAAAAGAAACTTTCTAATCTCAAGATGAAAATCTTATTAGAATTTAAGAGATTTTCTGCTTTATTACAAATTAGTAAGTTAGATGAATTACTTAGAAAAATAACATTTAATATTAATTATGGTAAAAAGAGTAAATATTTTGACGTATTTTTAAGCATTAAAATAACCTGCTCACATTCATTATTAATGAATAATATTAATAATATTAATATATTACAACGCCGATCCGGGTCCGTTTCATCCTTCATCATCATTTTCATTTCACCTCATTCCTCAGGGCTAACAATCCTGGGTGTAAAATGGACACAGCATTAAAAGGCTGATCTCCCCACCCCCTAAAGTCACGTGCTCCTACCCACCTGAGCCCCGACGGTGTGCACATTCGCGGAGGCCGAGATGTCCAATTCGCGACCAAAAAAACAATACTACTACTACTACTACTACTACTACTACTACTACTACTACTAATAATAATAATAATAATAATAATAATAATATTGCAATGATAATTCCTAAGTTTATCTTCTTCAGGGAATTAGACGAAAGTTCAGGAGGCGGTTTGCAGCAAGAAGTAACCCGAAGAATAGGTGAGCGCATGACGGACATACAATTTTGGAAGAACGAAGGAGCTGCTGAGCTTGCTGAATTAGTAGAGGAAATCGGCAAAATGCAAGACAAGAAGCGATCTCTTGAAAAGGCAATCCAGGACATTGAAGGGCCCATTCATATTGCTCAAGAGTGCTTACATCACAGAGAGGCCAGGATGGGTAAGATTCCACTTCGTTGACGTTTGAAAACTATAACTGAGACGTGTTTTTTAGAAAAAGAACCTTTAGATCTATGTGTTTTTTTCGTTCATTTAATTATGTTTTGTAGATTTAATAGTATATTTTTACAAAGTTTGATGACGATATTTCAATTATGATTTTGATACAGCTCACTCTTTATACCTTCGGGTTTCTGGGTTTGCGGAGAAACTAGTTTTTTTTCAGCTCTATTCGATTAATGATTAGTATAAAGACACATCTAATATACTAAGAAATAATTTAATGATAGAGAACATGACTAACAAAAATGATATAAAAATTTTACAGATATAAAATTATTTGCGAAAAAATATGTAACAGTATCAGTAAGCTAACAACCGCAATGACGTGGTACAAATAATCCTAGAATTTTAAATATTATAGATAGACCTATTTTAAACATGTTGACTAGATCTCTATAGTTGATCTTGGTGTACCCACTTGTTATAAGTATTGTGCATACACAGATATTTTATGACAGAATTCGTTTCGTATTTTATACTTCGCAACTATATTAATTTAATGAAATTAAATATAGTGATGTGAATACTTTGGTCTTATATTGAGAGGTGGGCAAAATCCTGTTCTACTTACTTTGTACTGCGCATACCTTAATACGTCATTATTTCTTTACAAATAATTTTCAGAATTATTAATTGCAGGCTTTTCTTTGTTCAGGAATCGATCTAGTGTGCGATGAATCGGAACAAGCTCTAATGAAAGAACTTTCAATATTTCGCATCTGTCAAGAGAAACTGTGTTGCATGCTGGAAAAGGCTCTTGAACAGGTAAAACGAATTTCATTATTATTACCACAACACTTCAACCTTCTCATTAACATGTCTATTGCTTTCTTTAGCTGCTTTGCCTGGCTATCTTTCACTGGTTGATTATGAAAACTCATTTCTACAACTTCACAATACTGAAAAAGTAAATCTGTAAAAAATATATTAATATTATATATAACGATAAAAAGGTCACATTTAGAATGTAACCTTTTTGATTTCTTGAATTATTTTTTCCGGCATGTCTGTACGTAACATACAAATAACCTTTCAAAGATGAAGCTGGACATCATCAAGTGATGTAATAAAAATACCAGGATAATTCAATACGTAGTGGCACATTTTTTATATCTTCCGAAGTTAAATGATTGTATTCACTTCAGCACACAGAAAATTAAAAATTTGCTGCGAAACTCTGTAAGTAATGGTAACGCGATTTTGATATTCATGCAAAATCGTAAGCGTAGTGGTATCGAAGAAAAATTCAGCTTCATGTTACCAAAACTTTCGACCAGTTGGAGGTGCAAAGAGGAAACTTTCCCTGGGGGACTGCAAAGACGCGAGGGAAAAAGCAAAAGTGACAATTTTAATATCGCATATAATATTTTTTTTAAATTTTAAGAGCCTGTTGTAGGCTATTGAAAGGTGAAAACAGACTTCCATTTTGTTAAATAATTAATGAAAATTAAGATTTAAAAAATCCAAAATACATTTTTATTACACATTGCAATGGTTTGGGGTAATTTTTGTCGCTCTGGAAACAATGAGAAGTGTGAGCGACTAGTCATTTGTACCAAATTGATGCAATAGTGTGTCATAAGGAGAATTGATGGCCCTTTGAAGCGTGATGGACAAAAGTAAATTGATTATGCGTAAAAAGTCAAGATTTAATAGCTTTAAGTTTCTTAGTTTTTAATTTTCGGTATTCTAAAACTTCAATGGTTCTCTTACAATAAAAGAGAGGGGGAAGAGAGAGAGGGGAGAGAGGGAGGGAGGGATAGAGAGAATTTCTGAATGGCAAGATCTTTATTTGTGATATAATACTTGAATTCCATCGAAACGTGACATTGAATTTTATTAAAATAAAATTATTTAGTAAAATAGTTTTGAATATCAACATTGAAAATCGAATACTACCAGGAAAAACTACCTTATTTACTCCCTTCGAATTAGTTAATGTCACGCATGTTTCTTTTCAAAGTATGTTAATGTGGTCCTAATTAATTGTTTACAATGAACTATCTTTGACGCTTTAAAGCAAGAAAACAATCGAGCTGCTCAGCACGACCTTGAGAGAGACGTGAAGTCGAAGGAGGACGCCATTCGCATCGACCGATTCGCCCACGAGCTGCAGAACTGCTCCAGAGGCCTTCGATTCCACGGAGGCATCGAGCAGTTTGACCCCACGTAAGGCGACTCTCCAACCCTGTGAGGTTAACTCCTCTTAAGGCAGTAGTCTTCAACCCGCCCTCCATTGCTTAGTTTTTGACTGACCGGAAGCACATACTCATTTACGTTCAAAGCAGCAAACTAATTACACTTTGTCACCTGCAAGCCCGCTAACTAAACGTGAAAAAAGTATATTTGACTATCATATTTTCATTTATTTTAAGGATAGGCGTTAAAAATTTGTCATGCAAGAAACATTTACCTGGGTGCTCTAAATTCTCTGGTGACACTAGCAAAACTCATAGCGTAAACACGCGATAGATATCAGACGAAGGTGAACCTATTATCGATGACTCAGAGTTAGTTTCAATCAGTTTAAATTAAGGCCAATATTGAGAAGATAAAGAAACAGGGACGAGTCTCATATTAAATTCAACAACGGTATTGGGATTGGCAGAGCCGTAGCTACATTCTCGGGGGCCACGGTGCCGAAGTTCCACTTCGGGTCCGTCATTGCCGTTGCCAAACGCGAAAATCAATTTATGTAGCCATACATTTTGTTGTAAATTTGATTTAACGTGCACTAATAATTTTCCATTCATAGTGTTTTGTTTTATAAACCTGAAGAATAGCGGTATCAAATAATTAGATATTTGGTTTAATGGTTTTATTCTGATTTTATATAATGTATAAAATGAATTTGTATAAAATGTAAGTCTCACAATTACTATAACAAGAAGAAATAATGAATGCACTGCTCTACAAGAAATGACGCCCCACATATTTAGTGCAATATTTCTAGTGGTATTATTCTTGCAACTAACCAGCAAACTTAAACGCAAAGCATAAATAACACTGATTTTTAAACTTAGTTCCCACAAATGATTTTTATTTAAATTTTCGTTCATTTTAATCATGCAAGCCTAGAGCTGACACTGTATCAATGGTAAAGTGATAACAAAATGTGATATCGACCGCAGTAATTTCTTTGCAAGATAACAAGGGAAGAAGAGGTGGAGGAAATTGCATCTGTTGTTTGCTCTTTCGAGAGAGGATGCGCCAAAGATTGTCAGCTATCACTTTCACTTCGAGACATAAATTTCCATAGATGATATAAAAATAATATGAAAACTATATACAAATAATACTCGTAATACATAAATACATACACATAACAATAAAATAGTTTATACTGAAAATTGTTAGCTTTCTCGGTTTTAGTACAGTTAAAAAATACAATCATATAAAACAAAAATATTATTTTGTTTAATAAAATAATACGTCCCGCAAATGTTTCCCCAAAACAAAAATGGCCTTTTTGATACAAAACATTGAATTCCACTGTTTTAGGAGTAAATCGATTCAACTCAATTGTAGTATGTACGCGTTCCACCCGTTTTCAGACTTAAAAGTACCGAAGGAAATTTCAGGTTTGTTGTTTATTAGCACACGTTAGTAGCTATACTAATAAAACTGATTTTTTTTATATAATTACTTCAAATTCATTTCGGAAATAATAAATTGAAAGGTTTTATTTTCAAATTAAATTTCTTTTCATTTCAATTCAACTAATTATTTGCCATAATTGCATGGTAGGTAATAACTTACTGTAGTACATTGAAAATATATTGATAGTTGTGCATCAAGGGTGTTCACAGAGTTGTGCTATATTTCCTTTTATTCAATTTTGTATTAAAATACAAACAAAACTTTGATATACAAGGTGAGTGTAAGTTAAATAATTTTCTGTGATGCTACAACAAAGAAAACGGAAGTAGTTAAACCTTTGCATCTTCCGTAGGCGATGATAATCAACAGTACCAAAACGTATTAAGAAACATTAAAACATCTTACGAATACAAAAATATTACTTTCTATTAAAATGTATTAACAGAACATATAATGTAAAAAACATAATCGTATTTTTAAGTTATTATAGAAAATGTTAATTTATTTGCCTTACATCAATAACAGCTGCAAGATTTTATTAGGTCTATGTCAATGGAATCAGAACTAAAATGAACTTTTGGAAAGTTCTTTGAGAATGTGTTTCCTTAGGAACAAAACATTATTACAACGCAGAATAATGACTAGTTTTGCCACAGAATTGTACTATGGTTCCGATGAAATATTGCAATTATAAATTTCTGTAATGGACACTCATAAATTCCATCTTCACAAATCTAATGCCTACAAGTTTCAGATTGTCGCTTCATATAAACTCTTCAATGGAGATGTAACTTATGAACCCTATAAAATGTGATTCCAAGAGTCGTAACTGAAATGTAAATAATACATTTCAAATGACCGTTTCTCATTTAATGCTTTTAAAGTTTATCTACGCAAGAAGAATGGGCGGATAACAGCAATAAAACAATTCAAAGAGCTCAGCTGGAAAGACATAAATCCGCACAAATGCGGAGTGATATCGATGCACTAATTTTGTTATGTGCTAATGAAATATGGACTGCTTGGGACTCCACAAACATGGATCTAGAGAGTGATTTTCAGACCGCAGAAGTGAAAAGGAAAATGGAAATGCATCTTCGTAAAGTAAGTATACTGGAAATAAAGAGAAGGAAACAGCTTTTTCTCTAAAGAAGGTAACCGGAAACTTAATTTTGAAATATGTGGGAAGTTACTTCATTCATTTGTTTGAATAGAGATAGGGCTTATGTAGTACGTAGCGAGGGTCCATAAACTTCAGATGCTTCAAACTAGTTTTCTACGTTTGGTACTGCATTTTTCAGGTACAGGATGAAATGTTTGCCGTTGAGAAGTACATGGAATTGTTGAGAAAAGCCATTGATGACAAGTCCAGGCCTCTAAAAGTTGCACATACGCGTTTGGAAGTAAGATCACACAGACGAGACATCGAGTTGTGTAAGGACGAGCCACATACCACGTAAGGAGACATTTTATTGAAATATGAGACATATTAAAAATTCAACGAAATTATGTTGTAATTGGGTGATAGCTTTAACTACATATCATTCCTTATTTCTCTGACATAAAACGCTTTTTAAGAATTTATTCATATTTGAACAAATAGATACCACTTGAAGATAAACTTACTCAAAATCTTATAACCTATTTATTCGGGTCTTATAACTATTACAACTTTCTCCTACGAAAATATTCCTTTCTTCAATAATTTTGCTATTTGAAATAGTGATAATTGAAGATTGAAATAAGTTTCCAATTCATACTTTGTTTCAATTACTTACTTCTTTATATCATGGATAACTTCCATCTGTATGGAGTAGGACACAAAGAGAAACAAGGTCGACTCTCGGCCAATGTGACTAACATTTTGAAATTTATATAATTATATTTGTACTAAAGATATCATTTACAACGTAAACAAATAGTAACTACTTCATAAGGATTATTTATTACTAAATAGATTCTTTTGAAATATCGGAAATTGACCAATTAAACAGAGAGCGCTGGTGTGAAAATAAAAATCATTATTAAATGAGTATTTTTTCAATATATTAAATTACTACTGTAACGTATAAACAATAGCCTAGAATATTTTGAACTTTTTTGTAATAAAACAAGACCATTTCATTATTGTTTATAAACTTAAAACAAAGAATTCAATGAACAAATAAATGTAAAATAAAAAAAATATACTCCAGCCTAGTATCTTGAAGTTTTAACATTCAAAATTCTACTTTTGCATTCTATGATGTGTGAGGAATTCTATGAAAGCTTTTCTATGCCCATTGAAATTTGTTGCTTTTTAATAAAATAATATTACAGATTGATATAATGAAAATAAGGATAAAATAATATAAACCCGCTCGAGTTACCACATTTAAATGATTCTTTAATTCTTTAAAGAGGTCTTAGAACTAACGATTTGTTATTTACTAATAACATTTGGTTCTTAAAATGTTTCGAAGCTCACATTTTTTTCTGTTTCCTTCTCAGATTAATCAAAGAAGTGGACATGGTCCGATGTTCTATAGAAATATTACATCGCAAACTTCTGGAGTGTGAAGCTAAGCACCAACAACTTTTGACCACGAGATCAAATTTGGAACAGAACCTTGAGATCAAAGCTAACTCCTTATTCATTGATCAAGAAAAGTGTTTGGGTATGCGCCGAAGTTTCCCCATACGTTCTTTGATATATTATCCAAAACCTATAGGTACCCTTAATTAAATCATGACATATTCAGAATAAATTTACATTGTTTTATAAATGTTTTCTTTTATTTAGCAGAGTAATTCTTTAATATCTTTACAATTACGCCACGATATATTGATTTATTACTCCACATAAAAATACTAGATGTTGCAAATTATTTACAAGATATTCCAGTAGACAAAGTTGAAATGCGAAAAAAAGTGACTCATGAATCTCTTTCCCTTAATTTTAAGTGGTCGGTTTCCAAAATGTGTTAATAAGTTGAACAAACTCAAAGGTTGATGTTGTGTGATTTATTGCCATAAATGTGATTAATCCTAATTATTAACCTCTCTTGGTTTTAACATAAAATATGTCTTTTATATTCTGCAATCATGCTCTATCTTGATATTTTTCTCATTTCATAAATAACAAGTGCGAAATTTAAAAGTAACTGGTATCTAACCTTTTTTAATAGGCAACGGAAAATATGATTTAGAATATAATCACTGTACAAGTTGTAAGATGCTAACGAAAAAAACCTAAATGTGCATTCAGGGATTTGTCACATACTAAAAATATAAATGTGAAATTTTGTAGATGTTAGTATTTAATTAATTGTTCCAAATTAGGGAACTGCAATGAATTTCATTGCGTCAAATAAACTTCATTCGTTATTAAGAGATGGGACACGCGTCGAATACGCTATGGTAATTCGAATTCTAAGAAGATGTTTCGTCAAATTTATGCATATTCTATACAAATCTCTCACCATTATCGGTATCTAGGCTTTCATCATACTCACAAAATTTGACATTTTTAGAAACAAACATCGCTGGACCTTTTACTCCCTCCCCAATCGAACCGACGTTTTGAAAAATACTATTTTTTTAGTTTCAGGGTGCCACAAAAAGTTCTTATCCGTTGTACTCTCAAAATCAATATTTCGCAGTATTACATAACTTTCCTTATACTTCGTGCATTACTTTGTATATACGTAAACGATAAAGTACAAATGACGCTTTTTAAAATGTCACTGTTCTTGCGCCATGAAGATATGTTACTTACTTCGATGTCAGTTGAATATTACTCTGCCCGAGTGTTAATTACTGATATTTATGTGCATCACTACTGAAAAAAGAGTCGTACATTCATCTTCAGAGCTCTTGCACAGAGGGTATTCAGTCCACTCGTAGATGTGTCCGTAAGCCCGATCTCGGAGCCGACCTGTTCGCCTTTAGGGCGCAACGCGAGCGAACTCAGGGCATATTGCGGGGTGGAGAAGTTTTCAATTCTCGCCTGGAAAGGGCAAAGTGCAGGGTGGAAAATGCAAAGGGAGGCAAGGTAATGGACAAAATTGAAGGGCGGCCCCTTGGAGCTCGAGGCTGTGTGAAGAATTTCCAGAGGGCAGAATGTGTTGAAGTACGAAGGGCGCAAGAAGCAAAGAAATCTGAGGGAGCCGTCATAATGATGTCGGACCACGGGTAACACTAGCAAATTTATTCTGCATTGCATTTTGTTGAATGTGTGAATGTGTGAGTTAATTTTAATTCCATGTTTGGCATCCTCTCACATACTGTGCTATTCATTGTGTACTCAACGCATTCAAGAAGGCAAAATTAAAAAGGTGTTTTAGTGATCTATGATTTGTTGCCTAGGATATCTAACACTGCACGAAATAAACTGTTTCCAAAAATTATCCTTAATTATACAGTCAGAACGCTTGCTACAGGATATAAATTAAAGGTATAAGGATAACACTCATATTGTACACGCCAAAACAATACTGGCATTCAGGTCATGTAGATGATTTCTGAGAAAATTGGAATATAAATGGAATGGAAATAATAGAAAATAATATAAATTCCAGAGGGGAAGAAAAAGAAGAAGAGGAAGAGAGATTACAGCTGGAAGAGAGAGAGGCAGAGACAGAGACGAGAGGTTACACAGAACTCGGCCTAGCCGAGTAGTTTAAAACACAGATCATTTAGGGATGGTGACCGGGCTGTGTGGTATATAGGTGAGGGTGCTCTGAGTTTAGATACAATGCGGAGCACATGAGAGGTCGCAAAGGGCGCCGCTGGGGAGAGTTGAAGGGCGGGAGGGGGCGCTTTGTGGATGCGGAGGCAAGGCGGGGATTTGCAGCGAAGGGGGCTGCGACACAGAGTACGAGCGAGGGCGAGGGCGCGGTCGGGGGC